CAAAAGTTGCCTTTTCATTAAACACTGTCCCTTCAGGTATCAGTGAAAAAATACCACAGTGAATGGTGGCCTGGGACAAAAAAATTGGTAGGCTGTTAGTATCAGTGTCATGAAGAATGATTGGTAGATATTAAGAATTATGATTTTTACATGGAAGTGAGATTTGAGAACACTTGCCAAAATTATCTTGTATCTATTTTTTCTATATTTTGTGTATTTATAGAGCATGACATAGTGGTTAGAGAGCTGTGTTTGGACTCAGCAAGACCTGGGGTTCAAGTTCCACCTTTAACACATATTGGCTATGTGACCTAGTGGATGTTACTTAGCCCTCAGTGCCCTAAAGAATTCTAAAATTATAAGATTTGATTTTTTAAAAATGTGTCTTTCTATTGCAGGGCAGCCAGGTGGTGCAGTGGGTAGAGGGCCTGGTCTGGAGTCAGGAAAACCTGAGTTCAAATCTGGCCTTAGACATTTACAAGCTGTGTGACCCTGGGCAAGTCACTTAACCTCTAGTTTTCTCATCTGTAAAATGAGCTGGAGAAGGAAATGGCAAACTACTCCAGTATCTTTGCCAAGAAAACCCCAAATAGGGTTATATAGAGTCAGACACTGACCGAAATAACTGAACAACTTCATATTGCATCTAGACTTTAAGTGCAGAAACCACATTCATTCACACTTGTAATTGGCATGAGAGTTTTGACCTGTTCTGTTCCTGACTAGGTCTGGTTCACCTTAGAAGCCTGGTGGTCCTGCACTCCGGACGAGTTCATATGGGACCAGAATTAGTTCAGACATGTAATTGGCTAGCTTAGTAGAGCTCAGAATTTCTGAGTTCAAGTAAGCCTACCAACTTCAGCCTCCCTGTGGCAGGGATTACCAGGATGCTCGACCATGCTCTACTCCAAAACTCTAAGTTATAGAAAAGATGCCCACTTGTATTGGAAGAGGGGGTTTCCTTACCAGGGAGTTTCTCTTTCCCAGTGAAACCACAGGTCCAGCCCAATCCCTCACTTACATTTGTACCTATTGTGTCCCTAGTAGACAATGGAACCTCCTTCAAGGTAAGGTAGGGACCATTGAACTTCTATCTTTGTTTCCCCAATGCCTTGAAAATGCTTGATTTATGAGGCACTTAAATATTTGTTGATTGGTTATAATAATCGTAAGTAAGTGTTGTTGAACCACTTCACTGTGTGCATGGCTGACCATCTGTACTGCCAGACTCTGTGTTAGGCATTAAGGATAAAAACGATCCAAGACACGGTCCCTATACTTAAATAGTTCCAACGGGAATCTTGTGGGAAACACATGTATACAGGAAAACAAAAAGAACACCAGTAGGTAGCATGAGGGAGGTGCCAAATGAGTGGTATAGACAATCTATGCTACGGACATCCAGCAGAAATACTAGTTTATTTGGGAAAGACTTCCTGGAAGAGCAGAGTTGGGCTTTTAATCAAGGGCAGCCCCTAAATAAGAAGAGCTTTGTGGAGTAGGCAGTCCTAATTGGGGAAATGGTATGAGTGAAAGCACAGTAGGGAGTGGGCATGTTTAGGGGATAATGAATAAGTTAACATGGCTGGAAATTGAGAGTCCCTGTATGAGGCTATTGAAGATAATTTGGTAAAGGTAGTTAGGGACCCAGTTGGAGAGAGCTTTGAAGGCTCAGAGCACGTATGTGGAGGTAGCGAGGTATAATAGCTAAAGCACTGAACTTGGGAGTCAGAAAGACACTAATTTGATGCCATCTCAGAAACTAATTATGTGATATTTGAGCCTCAGTTTCCTCATCTGTAAAAAAGGGGATTAATAACAGCACCTACTTTTCACAGGGTTGTCAGAATCTACAGAGATAATGCTTGTAAAGTTTTGCAGACCTTGAATCACTATATAAATGTAGGCTATTCTTATCAATGGTAGGCTAAGGAGTTTGGATTTTATTTAATAAGATCATAGATTTTGAGTTAGGAGGTACCAAGAAAGCTTTAGAAGCCTTCTAATACAACTACATGCCATTTACAGCAACTAGGTGATGGAGTGGATAGAGTGCTAGATCTGGAGACAGGAAGACCTATGTTCAAATCTGACCTCAGACCCTTAATACCTGTGTGACCCTGGGCAAGTCTCTTAACCTTTGTTTGCCTCAGTTTCCTCCACTTTAAAATGGGTAGCCCCTACCTTTCAGGGTTGTTGTAAGGACTAAATGCTTTTTTTTTCCACAGGTGAGGGAATTGTAGCCCATGGAGTGGTAAAGGATTTACCTAAAATCAGATAGTGATTAAGTAGCATAGTCAGAATTTGAACCTAAGTCTGTTGTCAAGAGATCCAACAATCTTTCCACTATGCTTTATGCTCTAGCAGGCAGGGGGTTCACAATCTCTAATGGTTCAAACAAGTATTGACTGTACTGACTAAACCAGAAAAACAAAGCTCATACAGATGAGCTTCTTCATACACAGTACAAAATTGTTTTTTACACATATATAGTGTGGAAAGAATATGTAATTGTGATGTATACTGTTTTTGACCCCTCTTTTTGCCTTCCACCTTACCCTGCTACCACAGATCTCTGTTCATTAACATAGAACCTAAACTTGGGCTGAAGCATCTTAAAACATGAACAATAAAGGGGAGAAAATGAGGTGAGAGGGGAAGGAGAAAGGAAGGAAAACTAGAGGAGAGAGGGCAGAGATATTACAGGATAGAGAAGAGAGAAAAGGGAGAGGATGACTGGGGAAGAGGAAAAAGGGAGTGAAGGGAGATATAGAGGAGAGAAGGGGACACATATACTAAGGCTCTATTTAAAACTCTAGGCCCAGGAAAGCAAATTTTAACCAAAAGCCAGGCTCTGTACGAGCAAGCTGGTGGCTCTGGGTATAATGGGATTTCTTGGACACTGCTCTGGTAAACACTCTTATCCAACTGTGAAGGCCAATGCTGGTTTTTAAGATCAAAGCAGACACCTACTTGAAGCTGCATTTATTACAAATACTGAAGCGCACACATCCCTAAGAATAAAGGGGGGTCTTAAGCAGAAACACAGGCAGCAATAGGAGAATGCAATTTTGACAGTACAGCAGCCACCTAAGTGGCTGACAGAAACAAGAGGTAATTTAATTCTAAAGCTTATCAACTTGCTCGGTTACTGAGTTCAACAAAGTGTCTAATACTGTCACAGCCCTAGCAAAAGGCTACTTGACAACAATTCTGACTGTCAGTGCAGGCCTGTGAATTTCTTTTTTTTCTTTTTCAATTTTCTCTATTTGAGGTTCCCCTGGTGACATTTGTATCTGACCTTAGCAGAGAATAATCCCAATGGTAATACAATGAAACTCCATTTTACTCAGCTCCCTATTACGCACAGTTGAAAATATTTTACGAGTCAGATGATGTCCCTGGAAATAAAACAACCACATATGATATGCATACAGTGGGTATACAGCTGCCCATATGACAGACCAGGTATCACTATCCTCTAACAAGTTATACTTTATCTGCCTCTAGGTTCTCAGAGTGGTGTCTTCTGGATCCGGAGTCCTATCTTGGGCTCCTGATAAGCTTGACTGTTTTTCTAAGATAAGCAGCCCTCAGCACAGATGTCTGCAGGGTGTACTACAAATTCTTGGTAGGTTCTCCACTCAGATCAAAAGTAAACATGGAATCTATTTCTCTAGAACGTCTCTGTGCACTTGGATATTTACCAGAACAGTTGGGAGCATAATGTAGGGACTTCATTTCTCTGCACAAACTACATAGTAATTGGTTGAGAATTTGAAGTCTGGAAAGACCCACATTCTGAAGTTCTAGATACCTAATCAGTGAGCTGCAGCCCTCAAAAGAAATATTCTTTCCCCTCCTTCATTACACTAATCACTTTTGAAATTCATTTCCAGGTTGTATCCATAAGGGCTTATTTAGGGGGAAAAAAAAGGTCCCTAGTGGCTAGAAATTGAGTGGAATGGAGGGGAAAATACATTGATGTTTATCAAATGCCAGCTTTCATTGATGTGACAATGTGGGGGAACGCAAACTCCCCAGTGCATATTTTTAAACCCTGCTGTGCTGTTAGAAACAGGTTGCAAATCATGATTTATACCCATTCTAGAGAAGAATGTAAAGTCACGAATGCAGGGATTTAGAATGTGTGTGTGTGTGTGTGTGTGTGTGTGTGTGTGTGTGTTTTAAATATACCATTACAGAGGTTTTAATGGGAAAGAACAGGGTGAACGGCTGGCAGCAGTTGGCAGGTATCTCCAGGCAAATTTCTGGGCTGGCTTTCAGTGCAGTTTGCCAGACTAAGCCATGTCTTCCCACTCCCCTCTGCTGATGAGCGTAAATCCCCATGACAAGGGAGAGGGGCTAGAAATAAAAATAGATGGGGTTTTCAAGGAGTTGGCAGGTCATTACTGTAAATTATCTGATCTATGCAATGTTGGGATCAGGAATGGGCTTATCAAAGATGATTTACTAGTCAGCTTGATGCTGTTTTGGTTTGGTACTCCTGTGTTTAAATTACAGTAACACATACAAAGGAGTGATGCCATCCATCATAACTAGGGCATTTACTAACAGAATGAAGCCTCAGAGACTGGTGCATCTATTCCCAGTGAAGAAATAATAAGATAGTCGGTTCAGAGAATCCTTTAGGGAAAAATAAAGGAAATACCTTTAGTAGCCATATATCTCCTTTCCTTCTTCATTTCTCTCCTATTACTCAGGCCCTTCTCTTCCTTTATTTTACACACAGTAACACACTTTCCCAAACTCTCAGCAAAGCCTGAGACCGGGAAATGACATGCATGCAGTCCAGCTTGTAATAGTCCACAACAGGTTGTTTTGACCTTTCTCCATTCTTGCGCAATTTGTGGCCACCTGCTTTATTGCTTTTAATTAGGAGTGATTGTTCTCAGGAGTAGTCCCTAGCTTGGCATGCTTAAAATGGTTTACCCTGTGCCCACCCTTGATCCCTTGGCATTTCCTTAGCTGATACTCACTCAAAAGGGTCACTGGGATCTGCTCTCTGGAGCTCTGGAGGGATGGGGATTCTTTTGTAGTACATTTCCCAGTCGAAGGCTCCTCTCATGGCGTCCCCAGCCTGGGCTTCGTACCCAAAGTGATTGTGGTCGATGACATCGATCATGGGACACACAATAGTTTTGTGATTTAGGGCAATTTGGTCTGAAAGATAAAAACACATACACACAACAGGGAAAGACAGATCTGGTCAGGTCATCGATCATATTTTGGCAAAGACTAGCATATAGATTCTTGCTAATGTTCAACCTTAAGCCCTGAAATCACTCTGCTTTTGAAATTTGCAGGAACTGTCCATCTGAAAGCAGACTTAACACAATGGGACAGTGATTAGGGACAATTAGAGTGGCTGTATTTTCCTTTAAGAAAGTTACATCCCAGGGAGACCTGCAAAAATCCATCTGGCTCTCTCTCTGTCACTTTTCTTCTCGGCTCTGGCCCCAATCTGTCATTTTAGCATGCAGCAGACATGCACAGAATAAAAACAGCACTTGAATTTCTTCAACCGTACAGCTACGACCTGCTGAGGAAATACTGGACCTCATTCTGGGGGTTCTGGGATGTAAATATTTAACAGCAAAGTTATTTAGCTTTGACTCTGAGAGTAGCTGCAGGTAAGATCGCTCTGTTTTCTCATGTTGACAGTCTGAACATTAAATTCTTGGCCACGAAGCCTGACACAGCTAGTGTTAAGGTGATCTTTGCCCTTGGTTTTCAGATATCCCACTCTGTTTATTAGTAAGAAAAAATGGCTTCCCCAAAGCTTTAACTTCCCCCTCACCATATCTAAGATGATGGAAGGCAGTTTGGGCAGTGAGCTCTGTTCTTGATTTTGCTATTGGCTAAAGGTTTACCTGTGGACATCTTGTCTGTCATTTCTCTGCTGTGCTCTGATAGCGGAAACAATATTCCCTAATAGTTGAGTATAGCATACTTTGAGTGCAAAAGCCCTCATGGGGGAAATATTATAGAAAACACAAAGAGTTAAGGCCCATACATAATGTCTTTCTCTTTCTCAAGAATGTGTCTTCAACTTGTGGTTATAATTAGCTGTTAATATTACTTGGCAGAGGGACAAGTGCCCACATCAGCTCCTTTTTGCTCTTTGGCAGCTCTTTGGATTAGACATGTGTTATCAACTATATTTAAATATGTTCACCAAAGGAAAGGTAAATAATACTGAAATGTACTACACATCTGTCATTTCCATTCCTTCATTTTCATTGGCAATCATTTTTTCTTCTTGTGAGGAAGAAAAGAAAAAAAAAGCTGGGTAATATTGGGTCACAGTGCTTCAAGATTCAAGGAATTTCTAAGTGAATTCAAAGTTTATCTACTTTCCACAAACACATTTTATCCAATAATGACTACCCAGAATCACATCTCTTTGTTTCCAAAATTTGGAATTTATATTTTCATCTGCCTATACTCAACTCGTATTTTTTACCTTCCTGATTAGACCACTCAGGCATTTATGGATCTCTAAACTACCTCTGGCAGACAGAAAGTAGGTTTCAAAGTCAGCAAGATTTAGGTTCCAGTTTTGCCTTTGAAACATACTGGCTTTGTGGTCCTGGGGTGGTCACTGAAGCTCTTAGTGCTCCAGAAGAAGTTGCCATCTCTCTTGGTAGAGGGAGTTTAGTTCCCCGCACTGATAAAAGAACAAGTGTGTTCCCAAATATATGATCTGCCATAAATATTACTTATGTCAGCAATGAAATGTCCTCCCCAGTGAAATCGCTGCTTTGTTCTATAGGAATTTTCTCAGCTTATAAGGCAACAATTGGCTGTCCATGACTGACTCAGAAGCTCCCTGTTGTTTTACTTCTGATGTATCCAGAGCACACAGTAGGCTCCTAGATCTAGAATTGCAAGAGATCTCAGAGACTGTCTAGTTCAGTCTTCTCTTTTTACAGATGAGGAAACAGGTTTCTGAGGTCAGAGAGGTAACCTATCTTAGTCAGAGGGTCCTAGATTTAGAGATGAAAAGGACCTCAGAGGTCATATAGAGGCCAATCCTATCATTTTATAGATGAAATAACTGGGGTTGAGGTAGAATAAGTGACCTTCCCAGAGTCACACAGGCAGCATTTGAACACAGTTCTGATTCCAGAGTCAGGGTGCTTGCCACTGTACCACATTGCTTCCCAACCTGAGCTCACCTAGGTGATATCTCAAGTCATAGATATTTTTGCTTTTAGAACTGGGATTTCAGAGGCCATCTATTTCTCCTGCCCCCTGCCATTGTATAAATGAGGAAACAGGACCAGAGAAGTTAAGTAACTTACTCAGGTTCATACAGTTAGTAGGTGGCAGAGACTGAGTTAGAACCAGGTATCCCAAGTCTTTGCTTTTTCCACTGTACCAGGCTGGTCTTGTGACTTCATTTTGTTTACACTCTTTCCACTGCTTCTCAGACCACAGAGTTCCCTTTTATGCTCCTACTGCTCATAGTATAGTGGAAAGAACACTGGCTTTGAAGGAAGGAAGAAAGGGAAAGGAAGGAAAGAAGGAAAAAAGGGGAAGAAGGGAAGGAAGGAAGAAGAAAGAGGGAAGGACAGAAGGAATGAAAGAAGGAAGAAAGGAAGGAAACAAGGAGGGAAGGAAGGAAGAGAGAAAGAAGGAAGGGATGAAATATCTAAAATGTGCTAGGTACTGGGGCAGTCACTTTAAAATATCTCATTTGAGCTTAACAACAAGCTGAAAAGGAGATATTATTATTGTTGTTATTATCTCCATTTTACAGATAAGGAAATCGAGGCAGATGGATGTAAAGTGACTTGCCCAGGGTTACACAGCTAGAAAGTATCTGAGGTTGTATTTGAACTCAAGTTTTAATGACTGCAGACCCAGGGCTCTCTCCACTTCATCCACCACTACTTTGAAGTCAAAAGACCTGGTTTCTAATCCTACCTTACACTACTTGTGACCTTAGGCAAGTGACTTAAAGACCTTGGACCTCATTTTTTTCATTTGAAATATGAAAGGACTGGAGTGGATGGCTTGTGAGGTCCATTTTTTTTTTCTTGTCCCTATTCACAATCAATGAGAGAGAGGAGCCGCTGAGGGGCCACAGTCCCAACATCGATACCTCTCCACAAACAGCACTTTCCCTTTGCCAGTCACAAATAAATCCTATAATGGATTTCAGTTTTTATCTGAAACATATTTCTTCTACAGGTGGCCCTGAAGGAGGAGACTCTTAATCCTTGAATTAAATAGGTTCATTCTATCACCTCTGCAGGAGTTTTCAGCCTTATGGTTTCAACTATTTACTTCAATGAAATGCAGATCTGGGATAGATTGACAAGAACTTGACTGATATGGAATCCAGAGCAGAGGAAGGGCAAAGGGAATGAGTCTGTTAAATTAGCTTGCCATCAAATTTCCTGTTAACTGATCCAGGTGGGCCAGATTGGGAATGGACATAGGGATGGACACAGGGGGTGGACACAGGGTGACTAACCTATGCTTCAGTTTCTGGGGAATCAAACATATGGGCTATTTTTTTAAATTTAAATTTTATTTTTAGTTCCACATTCTTTCTCTCCTTCCACGCCCTCCTCTACCCATCAAGAAGTCAAGAGATATGATACCCATTATATACATACAGTTATGCAAAACATATTTCCACATTGGCCAAAACATGTAGACTACTAATAAGAAATAAAATGTCAGGTACAATCCTAAGGTGTAAAATGAACCAAGGTTTGCTGAGACTTCTCTTGTTTCCTCATTTGGAATGCTATGACCAAATGCCGATAAAGGAAAAAAAAATTGATAGTGATCCTTGGATTGAGTCACTTCTTATACTGACCAGGTCGAGGAGGAAATAAACTACTTTAATCAGGAAAGGAGCCAATTCTATTTTGGAGGTTAGGTGTATGCTAAACAATCCGAGGGACTTTCAGGGACTTTGCTATTGACATTTAGTAGGTTGCTTGGGTTAAGAAATCCATTAGGTACTTTCCTGCCTTCATTGAGTATTCAGATGTCAGCACACTTGGTTCGTTTTTGAGAGATGGTGACCGTTGCTGATGAAACTCTAAATTGCTATGCCCTTGTACAAGATACTCTTAATTAAAATCTTAAAGGATTCTTGGCAACATGTTTGGAGGTACTCCTCTCTTGATTAGGATGGCTAGGCAGTCTGATGTATGCAGGTTTGGGGATGCTTGAGGGGAGGGTTGCATTGTTTCCCGTATTAAATCCTGTACCATTTACAATTGATTCTTTCCCCATCTTTGACTAATGGAGCTTTCCTGGTTCTAGCTGGAATCCAAAGCCTGAGTCAATAGCAAATCATCCTTTCTGAAGGGCCCATTGTGAAGGCAGTTGTTATTGGCATTTACTCCAAGGCCAAGGACATATTTACAACAAAAGCTGATTTAGTGGAATCTGGGAGAATAGGAGGGAGTACAATATTGGCACACTAAGAATTAAAAAAAATGTTTTCCAGTTTACTGTATATTTCTTGCTCTTGCTGGACTCAGCTCTGACTTCACTTAAAAAAATACAGTTTAGCTAGAACAGAACTCGAATCTGCTTCTTAGCTTAAATCACTTGCAATTAGTTCTTGCTAATTAAAGCTTTGATGAAGAATATGCCAACCCTCCTCCTCTTCCACTCCATCTTTTCATTAAGACATATTGCATATAACTCTACATTTAAAAAACGGTCTTTAAGAAAGGTGCTATGTAAACATTGATTTAGTAACTTCAAAGACTCGTGATTTGTGGGGACTTCCTTCATGTGTGGGGATTTAAATTCTTCTATGGTTTCTATGAGTTGGGTCTAGGATCCAAACATACCATTATCTGTTGATCAGACTTGTGATGATCAGCTTTTCTAGCCTACCTAAACTTATCATCAGGCCTGTACTGAAAGCCTTGGAAAGAATACTGGCTCTGGAGTGGGAGCCAGTATTTTCTATCAATATCTTGACATATCATTCAAAGTGAGGAAACAGGAGGAGATACAGCTTACTTTGGTTCATTTTACACCTTGGGATTACACCTGAATTTCTATTTCCCATTACAAGTCTATATACTTGATTCCTTAGAAACTGAGATGTAGACGCAAGTGTTAGTTGGAAAAAAAAATCAGTCTTGCTGCGTCCAGTCCTAAGAGGGGTTCCTATCCTACCTCTGACACTTGCATGACATTAGGTAAATTATTTAAACTCACTGGGCCTCAGTTTCCTCTTCTGTTAAATAAGGAATTGAACTAGAAGTCTTCTAAGATCTCTTCTATTTCTAGATTGATAATCATTTTCTGATTGGTAGACCCCTGCTGATTGTAATCCAATGACATAGCCTCAAGAACTATTGTTCGCCTCGAGGTCACAACAAAGCACTGGAATAGGCTGTATAAATATGACATTTTATAAGTTTATAGAAGGCAGCTAGGTAGAGAGAAAAATGTTGTCTTGGTCATCTTGAAACATTGGTAGAACTGAAAAAAAGATCTTGTTATTTTAAAATATATTATCTGGTATTCTGTTGGTGCACAACTTAGAGAGATTGTGACCCCTTTTGTTACGATCCAGTCTTCGAGAATGTTTCTAATGGAAAAATGGATCACCTTGAAGGCAATTTGATGAAGAACTTCTTGGAGCTTTGGTGAGAAAGATTTTTAGTACGCAGTCTGACACCAGAAACATATTCAAAGCCTTGGCATTTAGTAGGACCCACTAAAGTAAGCGCTCCATTCATATAACCTTTGGAATCCAAGTTCCCCTCCACCCCACAAGGAGTCTTCAGAGTAGCATGCCAGTGAAGGTGTGCCAGGATTCAGCTCAAAAAATGATGTGACAATAACCCATCTAACTTTCAGCTTGCTCATCTTGGGCTAGATGGCGTCTGAGGTCCTTTCCATTGTATTTACTGATGAGCTCATGTTTACAAATGAGCTTCCTTTTAGTGACTGTCTGGTGAGCATGGCTACTGTGAGAGAAACTATGGGAGAAATTTCTCACAGCAAGGGTTTTCCAACCTGAGGCTAGGTTGGGGAGACCAACTGTAAAAGGTGCCATCTGGAGAGATGATTGTTCTCTTTTTCAGTTTTCTAGCTAACCATTTACTTTCCCAGTCCTGGTGTAAGTTTAAATTTCAAGTCTCTCCTTCCTCTCAAACAATGCTTTCAAAAAGCATTTCTTATCCTATAATAATTGCAAAACAAGTAGAATCCCAAGAGAAACTCACTTCACCAAAAAGTAGATGAGAATATGGATTTGGGACATGAGTGAAGTATGACAATGAGTTATACTTACCCATGTACATAGTGTGCCTCCCTATGGAATATAAATTTCCTGAGGGCAGCGACTACATTTTTGTTTTCACCATCTTAAAAGCCTTGTGCAGTGCCTGGTATATAGTCAATATTTGTTATATTTTTGTTGACTTCTCAGGAATTCCAGTTAGTAAACTGTGTACTTACTAAGCAAAGGAGGCAGCCAGTTCACATTGACCTCACAGTGAGAATCTAGGAAGGTTAAAACTTCTCCTTTTGCCATAGATGCACCCAAGAGTCGGGTTCGGATCAGTCCTTCCCGTTTTTTGGTTCGAACAATTCTCACTTTGGAAAACCGGGCCATATATTCTTCCAATTTATCTTTCAGGTGCTCTGGAAAAGGAAGAAGTAAAGAATACATATGGTCAACTCTAGCAGAACAGTTAATGAAGTCATATTTATGGGATAAAGAAAGGAGAATTTGTCTCCTAGTTTATTACAAAAACTCAGCCCTTCCCTTTTCCTGACCCCAAGGGACAGTGAGGAGGCATTACTATGACTGTAGGTCCAGAGGTTTCTTGTCCTTTTGTTTATACTTTCCAAGATGCTTTTTAAGCTCCAAATGTTGCCCTTTGTTTGAACACAGAGGAAGTCACTGATATCCTAGACCTTTCCCTGCACAGAGGTCGTTGGAGCCCTGCCATCCGCCTTTAATCCTGGCTAGAACAACTGCAAGGTGTTCATCAGCTTTCTAGTTCCCATTACCCAAAGCCAGATGAATTACGCAAATGGTGCCCTTTCCAGCCAGTCTTCCCACCTATATTCAGTTTGATAGAAGATGTGTGGAAAATAATGAGGGGAAAAAATTAACCATGGAATCTGCATGACTGAAATGGGTTCCTTTCTCCCTCTTCTCCACCTCCCCCCCCTCCAAAAAAGAGCAGCAAGCTAGCAAATGAATCTAGAAACTCGATACTATGTGAAGTGAATGACTAGTTGAGTTTCAAATAAAATGTATTGTAGTGTTCCATAGCATTCCATGTCATTGAACATGGCTGTGCTTAAGATAAAAAAGCAGAGAATTTGGAAACATGCCCTTTGCTAATTAAAAACACACAATAAGAATGAATCACCTCAGGGAAAATCACTTATGAAAGACAAAATAATTGACTGCTTTGGAACGAATGCCTGAGAAAGTGAGAATTTTTCTTGTTATAAACAAGCATAGTTGTCTAATGCTGGAGGAGAGAAAACTTGACTATGTTTACATATTTTAGATCCTCCCTTTCTGTCACCAACATTTAGGATGTAGATATTGAAGCTGTAAGAAACCACCCCCACAAAAATGCTATTTTGATGCTTCAATGCAGTGGAGAGGTGACCTGGTTTCTCAAAGCCTATGCCAGCAGAGTACAAAGTTCTTTTAGGTTCTATCAGGCTCAAAGGGAAATGCGATTCTCCTTTCTACATTGCAGGGGTTAGGGGCATGGCACCCCTGTGATATGGAAAATCTGTGTAAATTTTTTTTGGCCCTCTCTTTATACCAGAGAAGAAGCCCGAGTTATTATGGTATTAAAAGATAAAATATGTTGATATATAATACTATGCACACATTTTATATACTTCTGAGTTTCTAAACTTTTTCTGTGTTGTGTCATCTTGCATCTTCTATAAAATGCTAAAAAAATTCCCATTTAATTTCTTATGCTGACCTACTATGTATCAGAACCGTGACAGGGCAAGCCATGATGTGGAAGGCATAACTGTACAAATGACCTTCCATCCTATGGGGCCTCTTTATGCTTTAGCAGTGATAGAAGCAGAGTCCTAGAAAGGTAGGAAGGAGAATTCTCAGACCATCTAAAACCATTAACTATTGGTTCTCAAAATGAAAGATCAAGTTCTAAGGAGATGACATGATATTAATGGGAGTTGTATGTGACCTTGGGTAACTTACTCAACTCTTCTGTGTGTCAGTTTTATTATCTAAAAATGAAGGGGTTGGGTTTGATGAGTTCTAATGTTCCCTATGTATGCTTATTAAAACAATATTTAAATTCTTGCTAGAAATAAAATTATGAGGTATAAGGAAGCTACAGTTAAATGGAAGGATGCAGGTTGTCCTTGAAGAAGCAAATAGAGGAGTGGTCAGAATTGGTTTCTTCATGTACTCAATGGCAAAAAAAGCCCCAAACACTACAGAATTTTATGAGATACTTGGTCACTTGGCTTCTTTAATGCTCATTATAAGCGTAAGTTTTAAAAAATTACCATGAAGATAACTGCAATGCGTTTTTCAAATATGTTGCAGATGATAAGGAGACAGACAAATTGTATAAATAAGTCAACAAGTCGCTCTAAAACAAGTTGGCATATATACATATATGCATACATAATATGTGTGTATGTATTGTTATAATTATTAATAATTAGTGCCTACAATGCAAAGGTGGGCATATGGGAAGATAGTGAAAAAATATGTTTAAAACACGGTTTAGGCTAAGAAATGAAAGTGGCCAAAAACTTATAGATGCCTCAGGGCAATATATTATAAATATTTTCTTCAAAGAGAGAGTCAGAAGATGCTAGAAATAGCAAGGACAAAAAATGAAATTAGCTAGGTCTCTGAAGACAGGAAGTGGCTGCTAATGTGGAGTCATTTCAAAAATAGCTCTACATGTGGTCAGATCCACAGACTTGAGCAAAGGTTAAAATCAACAACAGATTAGTAAGTAGGAAGAAGACGAAAAGAAAACACGAAGTTCAATCAAAATTTCTCCAAGTTGACCTTTCAAACAAGCTAATGATTTTCAAAAATGGAAAAGAAAGGAAAAGAAAGGAAACACACTATAACTTTTTCCTATAGTAATTAAGTAAAATAAAACGATTACCGCTAGGTTGAATGAGCCCAGAGACTGTCTCATTTCATAGTGTCAAATAGAAAGATATGGCAACCATGGGCAATAAAATTATAAATATAAACTAATTTGGAAAGGATGATGATGATGAAAATGGTAGAAAATTGCCAGCAATATTTACTTACAATTCAGAAAAGTGTGATATAGGGTAAAGCAAGTTTGCAGAAAACTTGGTATGAGACCAAATATACCATTGGGCATTTCTAACAACGACTTACATGCAATATTCAGATTCCAACTCTTATTGTTATAAAATATAGCATTGGGGAATATGTGATTGGGGAAGAATGGGATTGGTCATGGACCAAGGATAAATGATAAGAGATGGACAGCCTAAATCATGTAGTGATGCTCCTGAGATGTTAAAAAGGCTTAGAGGAAGCTTTCAGTGTATAGATTGCCCTTACAGGAGAAGATAGACATGATCTGTACAGTTGCCCAACTCATGTTCCTAAAAGAGAGGTCTGACACTCTCCCATTTAAGAATGTTCAATTGTCTGATTGTTTAGAATGTATGAGAAAGTACGAACTCTTTTGTTGGACAGTTAAAGCCTTTCACAATCTTGCTTCAAACTATCTTTCTAGAAAAAACATATTATTTATTCTCAAATACAATATATTCCAGCCATAATTGCTAGTCTCAATACATGCTTAATAACACATCTCCCACCTCTGTGCCTTTCAAGATTGTCCATACCTAGAATTCTATGCCTTAGCTCCATTCATGATGCAATATAAATTCTGCCTGTTGTATCAGGTATTTCCAGATCCTTCCAGCTGTATATGTGGGGAGGGGGAGGGGGAAAGGGGAGAGGACAGGGGAAGAAGCAATTAAATGTATATATTTTACCTTAATTTATCTGACTACATACTGCTTCCCCCAAACCTCAGTGAAAAATAAGTTCCTTAAAGGCGGGAATGTTTTCATTTTTGTTTCTGTATTTCTAGGGCCCAGGGCAGCTAAGGTGGTGCAGTGGATAGAATGCCAGGCCTGGAATCAGGAAGACCTGGTTTCAAATCCAGCTTCAGACACTTACTAGCTGTTCGATCCTGGACAAGCCACTTAACCCTGTTTGCCTCAGTTTCTTCATCTGTAAAATGTTCTGGAGAAGGAAATGGCAAACCACTCCACAATCTTTGCCAAGAAAACCCTGAATGGGTCCACAAAGAGTCAGACACAACTGAAAAACAATTGAACAACAACAATTTCTGGGGCCTGGGTCAGTGCCTGGTATATAATAGGCACTTTAAAAAAATGTTTGTTGAATTGAATTGATGGAATGAGAAGACACAGATATATTGGAGCTTGATTGTTGGAGGGAGTAATCAAGCCAAAAAAGAAGTGAATTCATTAACATTATGGAAGTTCTAAGTCTAAGCTCCATTGGAATAGTGGTAGGTTATAATTGCCAGGATTTGTAGTGTGCTGAGGACCTGATGTCAATTTATCTTTTTGTAGCATGTAGCATGGATATGCTATGATCTCTACACATTTCAAGGGGATTTCCATTCCAATGAGATTATCAAACTACTGAAGCATGAAAATGCAGTAGCATTAAGAGATGCAGACAAGGTATACAATTGTTTCTCTCTTCCCAATTGCCAATACCTTCCCCTAGTCAGCATTTCTCCTTGGAATGATTCATACCACCACCTTGGACTACACCCTAGGATGAGCACCTCTCAAAGGTGAGCCTTTGCCTTATTTTGCCTAGAATCAGGTCTCCAGGCCATTGCTTCCTTCCAGTTCTCCTTGATGTGTTGTTTCCTCCTATTGGAATATAAGATCCTTGAAGGCAGGGACTGTCTTGCTTCCTTGTATTTGTAACCCCAATTCTTAGCATAGAGCCTGGCACGTGAGAAGTGCTTAATTGTTCTCTTCTTTTCTTCCCTTCCTCCTTTCCTCCATCTCTCCCTTCTTCTTTCCTTCCTTCCTTCCTATACATTTATACATCCATCTACCCACCTACCACCTATCTATAAGACAGGATTTTACAAGCTAAAACATAATAAAAACTCAGATGAAACTCTGTAATCAAGTTTTATTATGTTTCTTTTCTTTTTTTAATGAGGCAATTGGGGTTAAGTGACTTGCCCAGAGTCACACAGCTAGTGAGTGTTATGTGTGTGAGGCCAAATTTGAACTCAGGTCCTCCTGACTCCAGGGCCAGTGCTCTATACACTGCTTCACCTAGCTGCCCCTTTATTATATTTCTAAGGTGAGACTTTCTTTTCATCTCAGGCCCTCTGTCTATTTCATAGTGATTTTTATGTGATGGATTGTTAAAATGAAATGCTTAATGCTCAAAGTTCCAAAAAAGGAAGTATAGGTTGGGCCCGTGCCTGAAGCCTTTTACTCTAGAACTTCTGTTCTCCTCCCCTCCTCCTCCTCCTCCTCCTCCTCCTCCCCTCCTCCTCCTCCTCCTCCTCCTTCTTCTTCTTCTTCTTCTTCTTCTCTCTCTGTATATATGTGTG